CCAGCGTCCTAAGCGCCCCCCCCCCCCCCGTCGAGAAGCACCCTTGAGCCTATAGATGTCCTTCCTGGCTGCCCTTGGGTGCTTGGTGTTGAAAGCCTCCTGAAATACCTGGCTGTACTCAGCAGGCCTGTCCCTGTCCCTGGAGAGGCAACTGAGCCTCTCCTGAAGTGGGACATGTTACGGGGGATACAGTGTGGAAGGGCAGCCTCTGAGGCTGACAGCCTTTCCGAGGCTTGGGAGCCATGAGCCTGGGAGGTGCTGACCAGGGGAGCCTGGCAGCTGATAGGAGGCTGTGGCTAGCCTGTGATATCCAGGGGTATAAAGCAAGCTGGTACAAAGGCTTTGACATTTGCCAAGCACCGTGGATATGTAATCATACCCGAGGATTGTGCCTACCATGCTAGGCAACCCAAGCAAGGTTCACTGAAGGTAAATCATTTGTGTCCATGGGGAAGCTGAGACTAGAGACTGGGAGGTTTGTCGGGGTAGCTTCGGACATGTCACCCGAGGGAAGGCCTCCATGGGTGAGGCTATATTTCCATCTGCTTCCCACAGTGGGGGTTCCCAGACTGGAAGCCTGTGCTGGCAGTGGCTGCATCAGAAGTACCTGAAGCACCTGGGAATATAACAGATTCTGGGGGCCACAGAGTCAGCATGAATATGTGAGCTAGGGTAATGTTTCACAAATCCAGCTGAGCCCTACCCTGCTGTGGTTCTCTTGCCCAGATCCTGCCACACCTGAAACTCATTTGGATACCCAGACCCAAACTCAGAGCTGATTTTTTTTAATTAAAAATATTTTTTTTCAGCAAGGTCTCATGTAGCCCAGGCTGACCTTGAACTTGTTATGTAGCTGAAGATGCCCTTGAGATTCTGGTCCTCTTGTCTCCACCTTCCAAGTGCAGGAATTAAAGGTCCGTGCTACCAACCCTGGTTTTATGAGGTGTGAGGGATGAACCCAGGATCATGCCTATTAGGCAAGCATTCTACCAACCGAGATACGTGTCCAGCCCTAGACAGAGCCAATTATATGAGGAAAATTCAACTCTGTTGCCGGTGAGAGACCTCTGACTCAGAGAGGCTAAGTAACTTGCCTTAGATCACACAGATCCTAGACCTGGGGCTCTTCATTGCTAGCGAGTGTCCCATAATGGCTCATGACTATAGATGTGGGTAGAGAGATGAATTTAGTTTTTCACGGTCTTGTGACGGATGCCAAGTCTTCTTATGATGCCCACCTACATCTTGAGGGTCCACCTACCGTCCAGCCTGGAGGGCAGGCACACTCTCCAGTGATGTGGTGGCAGGTGCCCCCATTTTGGCAGGGGCAGCGTAGTTCACAGTGAGCTCCATGGCTCCCAGGGGGGCACAGCTCCTCGCAGCTGCACGGAGAGGGAGAGTCATATACAACAGTATTCCCAAGAACGTCCTAGAGCTCAAACCCAGGGTTCCCTAGTGAGCCTTGTCTACGAGGACAACCTTGTCAACCCCTCCACCTGACACCTAACTCCTCCCCCACCATGGTGGTGAATGAGGGCAGCAATCCGCCTACCTGCCAAATTGAAGGCCTGAAACCCTGCACCTTAAGAATGGATGTTCTGATCCCCGCCAGTAGAGGGAGACAGATCTCAGACATAATATATTGAACTGTAGGGTACTTGGGCCAACCCTTGAAAATTCTGGGCAGGAAGCTGAAGGGATCTTCCCTAAAAAGACAGTCTTACTTAGGCCTTGAAGGTGAGACTAATTTCACTGAGAGAGTGCAAGGACATGCCAGATAGATGAAACAGCAAGACCAAGGGGCTAAAAAGTGGCCTTGGATTTTGTCTTCAGAAACCTGCCATGGCTGCTGCCTCCTCTTCTTCCTCCTCCCTCTCCCTTTCTCTTTTAAAGATTTATTTCTTTGTGTATTTTATGTGTATGAGTGCTCTCTCTGCATGTATGCCTGTATGCCTGATGAGGGAATCAGATCCCATTATAGTTGCTGGGAATTGAACTCAGGACCTCTGGGAGAGCAGCTAGCACTCCTAACAACGGAGACAAATCTCCAGCCTCTGAAAATGTTCCTATTTTCAAAGGAGGGAGTCAGATATTCTGAGACATTTCCTTTCCAGACTCTGAAAAGCTCCCAGTTGCCATGAGTTGGGGGGCAGCACTGTGGGAGCAAGGGGAAGGTCTGCATCACTGCCTTGGGTCTCATTCCAAAGGCCATGGCTTCAAGCTCGAAGGCCCTGGGAGCCCAGACATCGGGACAGGAAAGGCTCTCAATCCAAGAAGTCTTGTAGTCAGCATCCTTGGCTGATGCCTAAGGATCCAGGAAGACTCTAGAGCCTTCAGCAGGGCTGGAACAACACCAGTCTTGGCTGTGAGAGTGTCAGCTACGCTGTCTTGGGGAGCCCCTAGCAGTGTGGCTTCCCCAGGGCACAGAAGTGAGGGGACCAATCAGCACATGATATATCAGTTGGGCTCTTACCAGCCCTATGCCTCAGATGTATTAATTCGGATGTGGCAAGCAGAGGTATACTGGAGTGGCCAAAAGAGAAGGCTAAGCTCACTTCTGTGTCCCCTAACTAGGAAGGGCCCTCTGACAGGTGACTCTAGTGGGACTCATGGCATGGATATGAGACTTGTGTACACGAGGCCTGGATACTCACACACTGCTGCACTTGGGGTCAGAGGGCAGATTTCACAAGCTCTCATCTTCCTACTCACTAGGCTAATAAGTTGCCCCAAAGCCTTGAAAGCTCCATGACAGCCCCTAGGCCCCAGCACTGTCCTGCTCCAAACCAGGGTCATCCAGGCCACGCCTTTCTCTCCCAGCCGGGCCTCACCTCTCCTGGCTCCATCCCATCCCCCTCCTTTCCCCACCCCTGCAGTCCTGACCTCTCCCTGGCCCCACCCCCAGGTCACGCCCTCCCTACTCACTAGACACCGGTGTAGCCAGGTGCGCAGAGGCACTCGCCAGTGCGCGGGTCGCAGCTGGCGCCGTGGTGGCACTGACAAGGCAGCTGGCAGCCCTTGCCGTGGGTACCCGGTGCGCAGAGTTCCTCACAGCGCCAGCCTCGGAAGCCAGGGGCGCACACGCAGGCGCCGGTGATAGGGTTGCACAGGGCGCCGTTTTGACACTGACACCGATTGCTGCAGTGGGGACCCCAGTGCTCGCTGTCACAACCTGCAAGAAAGGACGTGCAGAGTCAGGGCTTCCTTAGAACGAGGGTCTACACGACCTTACCATTTCTATGATCCCTGGAGAAGAGGCTGCAAGGGGTGGCTGGAAAGAATCCTTGGCATTTGGGGATCTCCTTTAGGCTCCACCAATCCACCAAATGTTCACCGGAGTTGAAGACGGTACAACATCAAAGGACCCCCAACCCAATTTCAATCGCTGTCACTGCCTGGCCCCCAATACAAACTCTGGGAAGCTCTCCTTGGTTGGTCCGTCTCTAGCCTTTCTCAGCAGGACCTTTTCTCAGTACTCCTGCCCTCTCTCTTCTCTGGGACCCTGTTCCTCTCAGAGCCAGCTGGGCCCAGCAGCACGTCTGTCTGAACCATCTTTCTCTCACTCCTTTACTCAGGATGGTTTCTTCCGACTCACTGTGCCCACTCCTGGCTCCACCTTTCAGCTCTCCTTTCCCTCTTCCTCCCTTCCAGGAATCCCTCCAGCCCCTAGTTGCTTCTTCAGTTCAATTTCCTCAGTGCCTCAGCGCCTTCAGAAAGAGCAGGAGAAAACAAATGTATCCCTGGGAAGTAACAGCCAGCCTTGGAGATCTTTCCCTGTAATTAAATGTTTTCAAGACTGATGGCTTTCCGGAAACCTGCATTCTAAGCCACAGAAGGGATAGAGCGACCCAGAACCCCAGGAAGGCTACCCACGGTTGTCACCTCCCACTTTGACCCTCTCTCTCAGTGCATTCAGGACACAACAAAAATAAGATGCCCCCCCCCCCATAATGGGATTTTTTTTTTTTAAGTGGGAGTGGAGGTTAGGTACTGACAAGCACAAATACTGTTTTAGAATATCGAAGGCAAGAAAGATTGCTTCCAGTTAAGACAGTCAGGTGAAGGTTCCTCGTTGCAAGTGGGCAGTGAGAGATGGCTCAATTGTCTGCCTGCCAGAGGACCATCTGTCTTACTTTCTGCACCAGAAGTCCCCTGTTTCCAAGAGCACCTCAGTCCTGGGCAAGCAGGGACAGAGGACAACTTTGCTGCCTGTGGGCACAGATGGCCAGCTGATCCTCGTACCCCAACTTTCTAGGATTTTGATACTCAGAGGAAAGGGGGAAGTGAGCAGCATAGAAAGGGTGTCCCTGGGTGTGCCACTGTGACCTGGGACAAAGTGGCACTCCGGTGATGAGCAGGCCCAAGAAGGCAGGGTTGGCATAGCCTGTGAGTACGCTGGGGTTCCGCCAGCATCACCCATTTTACACAAGTCTCTCCCGATGGCTGATTGGGTCAGTATCCGGAAGCTCGCAGCCATCCTGCAGTAGATAGGCCCACTGAGTCTCTGATCCCACCACCTCATCTTGGCTCACTCCTTCATCCGTGCCCTGAATATTGATAAATACAGACTGGGGCTGCCAAACTATCAATGGGCATTGCCCTCTGTCTCCCAGTCCACTCAGAGTGACAGCTCCGCTCACGCTGACAGCGGCTCACAGTGGCAACAGTGGAGTGTCCCCCAGCCCACCTTCTGTCCAGGAAACCTTCCCAGGGAATGTAAAGACTGATAAAACTATCCACTGTGTGTGTGTGTGTGTGTGTGTGTGTGTGTGTGTGTGTACTCTCTCTCTCTCCTTCCCATTTTTGAATGTGTACATATGCATGTTTGCAAATCTATGGGCTTTTTTGCATGTGTGCGTGCTATGCATGTGTATGCCCAAGGAGGCCCAAGGTTATGGCAGGAACCTTTCTCAACCCTTCTTCAGTGAGGGCCGGTCTATCAGCCAAACCCAGAGCCTGTGGATATGGCTAGTCTTGCCAGATGGCTTGTTCTGGGATTCCCTGTCTCTGTCTTCTGACGCTGGAAGTACAAGCAGCCTCCACACCCACCAGGCATTTACATAAGTTCTGAGGATTTAGACAAGTGCTTAACCAGTGAGCTGTTCCCCACTTCCCCTCTGTCTCTATCACCAAGCACATGTAGTTAGCATTCAATGTGTATGTGCTAGGATTCCATTATCATAATGATAATCATATTTAACTTTCCCCATGTGCCTGGCCCCTTCCTGGAAGTCTTAGAGGCATGAACAGTATTCAATCCTCATAGGCTTCACTTTCTTCCCTACTTTATAAACGGGAAGATAAAGGATCGTGGCAGTTACGTGATCGTTCAGATTCTAACAGGGCAGCCAAGGCCCCCTGATTCCAGGTCATTGCTCAGGCACACAGACACTTGCTGGGGATATTCCAAGAGGGGAAGCTTGGGGGTGGCGCTGCTAACAGCAGCTGCAAAGCCGAGGTGGGCGATACCACAGAGATTGGCTTCTTCCTTTCTGGTCACTACTGTGAGCAGCTTCAGGACCTAGACAAGCAACGCCCCCAATACTTTTGGGGCTACAGTCGCTGTATGTGATACTGGGTCAGACTAAAGTTAGTAGCGTCCCTTCATGTCTTGCTGGGCATCCCATGACATTTTGCTTTTCAGGTGCTTATCCATAACTCCACGATAGTCTTCTTTTCTGTTTTGAGAGAGGATGCCGCCATGCAGCTCACGTGGGCCTCAAACTCACACTCTTCGCTTGGCCCCCAGAGTGCTAGGACTGTGGGCGTGAGCTGCCATGCTTGGCCGTGGCCTCCCTTCTCTCAGGAATAGCCCAAAGCCAGTAGGTGACGAAACTGTGGCCAGGGTAAGGAGGGAGAACGTTGTCACGGGGTCTTGTAGCTGCTCTCAGTCACTTCCATTCCTCTCTTGTCAGCTGAATGTTTCCCAAGTACCTAGGAGGGCTGTGTTGTGGAAGGCTGTGCTCCAAGCATAACCGACATTACTATCTTCATGAAGCAGCTGTGACCACTTGCAAGGGACCATGGAAACCAGGCCTGATGGTGTCCCCTCACAGAGGAGGGGCAGCTTCCAGTTTCTCCTTCCTACACCTCCTCCCAGCTGTGTGTACTTCTGCCCCAGATGCTTGGAGTCTTGAGGGGTGCTGGAGTATACAGGAGCTAACTGAAGGGGGGACTCCATCTACGCAGCTATGAGGAAGTTGCCATCCATCCAAGACAGAGTGAGACCTTTCAGTGATGTGGCTGCTTTGGCCCCCTAAGCTCCTGTCCGTGACCCCCTCATTCATGTTCTGGAATTAAGAACATGTTTTGTTAAGTTGGTCTTTGGTGAAACTGTGACTTTGGTCCATTTGTAGAATCTGTTACTTTGTTGCCCTATCTCAGGTAAGAAGACATTTGCTCATGTTTGGCCAGGAAAGTTCATACATGCTTGACAGTAACCTGCCCTCTCTGGAGAGAGCTGGTTTGTCAGGGAGTGGGTGGAGGCAGAATCACAGAATTCAGCACTTGATAACAGTGCAAGAATAAAGGTGGCTTAGGACTTGGTTGAAGTTATGAGAACACAACCCTGGCTCCTCGCACTACAAATGGATGTGCATATGAACATGTCTATAATTGTGTCTCTGTTCATGAAGCCCCTAAAGCCATAAGGCAAGGCTAGGGAGATTGTTGCTGGAGGCTGTTTGTTCATTTTTTCGACCACCCTGACTCGAAATAATCACACAGAAACTCTATTATTTGCAAAACTGTTTGGCCAATAGCTTAAGTATATTTTTAGCTAGCTCTTATATCCTAAACTAACCCATCTCCATTAATCTGTGCATCACAACGAGGTCGTAGCCTACTGGGAAAGTTTCATGGGACTCCAGCCGAGGTGTCTGTCTTCCTGTCTCCTGCAGTGGCTACTTGGCTTCTCTCTGACTCTGCCTACTCTCTCTATATATATCTCTTTCAGCCTGGCTATATCCTGTTAGTCCACTGGCCGAAAGCAGCTTTATTCATTAACCAATAAAAGCAACACATATGCAAAGGACTTCCCACATCAGGAGATGGCTCAGTGGTTGAGAGAACTTGCTGTGAAAGCAAGAGAACCTGAGTTCAAATCCCCAGCACCCACATAATAGCCCAGTGTGCAACCAAGCCCACTTTTGTGGGGCAGAGACAGACAGACCTGTAGAGCTCACTGGTTAGCCAACTTAGATTCAGATTCAGTAGGAAACTGTCTCAAAACTAAGGAGGAGAGCGAAGCCAATGGGACGGCTCATCAGGTAAAGGTGCTGGACAGCAAGACTGAAGACCTGGGTTCAGTCCCCAGACCTAAATGGTGGAAGGAGAGAAAGATGTCCTCTGACTTCCACACACAAACTGTGGCATTTACACACACATACATACACACGCACACATATGCACACACACACATGCACCACACACACATACACACACACATATGCACATACACACAGGCAAAAAGAGACAGAACGCCCTCTTCTAGCCACTACACATATGTGCAAAGCACACATGTATACACCCCAGCTGCATTGTGTCCAAGCAGGAAAGCATGGAAGTAAACAGGAAACACAGAGACAAAGGAAGTGCGGCCATCGGAGGATGGACACATGGCCCCTGGCAGCCAACCCGGCAGGGAAAAGGTGGGCTAAGTCAAACAGTTCTGACCAAGGAAGCAGGGAAACATGTCACCATAGCAGAGAAATGTCTCCCCAGAGTGATTCAGTGGGAAAAAATGTTAGGGACCACGGTGATCAACTTTAGTTATTTAAAATTCACTTAAAAATTTCTCATTCCCCAGCGATGCTAGGGAAATGAGGCAGAGCCAGGAGAGCCAATTATCTACTCCGCAGAAGGCAAGGAGAGCAATCACTCCGCAATTACAGTGTGGGCCGGGGTTGTGTTCCTCCACACTCTGCTCAGTTTGGCCAGGCCATGTCAAGCCCTCACATAGGTGATTGTTTTGTTTTTGTTTGTTTGTTTTTCCTTCACTCTGTCCCAGACTCTGCCCTCTAATTATATTTGGCTTTTGCTGATTGTTCAGCTTCTCTGGGCAGCTATGCAGAGCTTAAGGGGCATCCAGAGGTGCATGGCCAGCAGCTCAGGCCCCTCCTAGCTGGCCCCTTCAGATTCATGGATCCAGCCTGTGGGCTCCTGCGTCCTCAC